CATCATGTTCCGCTCAACTGTCCTATTTTGTTTGTATAAGAGAGTAGTTATTGGACTGATAATTTAGTAGTACATTTGACAGTTGTGAGCTGAAGGGAAACCCAGCGGTTTGATTTATAACTTGTAGATAATATGGAAGTAATATGAGTACGTTTATAACTACATATTTCTGTGGCGCAAATACCGTAATTCTTAAAACTGTTTCTTTTTTCTTTCAAATCAACGTAGAAATATAGGTGTGAACTTAAATGTCGAGATTGCAATAAACATGTCTTAAGTCTAGATGAAGGCTTGAGGGACACTGCGATGTTGCAAGAGTAGGGCTAAGCAATTTATAGATTAACCTTTCTACTATTTGAAAAAAGAAGCTCTAAATTTGACCTTGCAATGCGTGTGCCTGCCCCTGCATTCAGAGTGGTGCAACCAGTTCATCCGCATGCAATAAAAAACATAGAGCCCACATCTATTGTGCAGCAGCACGATGAAGTGGCACACATGAACAGCTCGCTGACTCTCTAGTGGTGTCGGTTGTGGCAGAGCTAAAGCTCGCCGCGATGCATGTTCTGTTTTGACATGTGACATATTTATTAGTTATTTTAATACTCGTCAATCTTAATTTGTATGTTCTTGGTTTGGGCTACTTTTAAATTTCTTTTTCGTCTTGTTTTGTTTTGTCTAGAATTTATGCATTTTAGTGGGTATAATTGTTTTTTTTCATTAAGATTGAATGGTACTTTTTTTTTGCGAATTAGCCCCTTGTAGAGCTGTAGTTACAATATTTAATGAATGGTCTCCCCAAACTTGCATGTTACTTGCATTCGCTAGCTTTCTTTCTAAAGTTGTGAAATAAACTATAACATGAGGCAGTCAGCACAGAAACCCAATGGGGTGTTCACACTAATTCACCTATAAAAATGTTCCTAACATATTGCATCCCACTTGGACAAATGCAGATGTTAAGAAATTGCATTCATCCCACCCCTCAGATTCTCGTCTACATAGAGTTGTCTTTCACCGCTATGGGCAGAGGCCAGCTGATTTGCTACAGTTTGGAAGGTGGAGAGATGATGTGCAGGGAAGCTAAACTCTGTCCTCTCTCCCATATTGCCTGCTATAATTGTTCCAAAACTCAGGGAGAAAGGGGGGGGGGGGGGGGGGTCTGCCCCTGCCCTTGCACCCTTCTTCCGATAGGGTACACACTTGGGGATGCCTTTATAACTGCAGCTTTTTATGGCTGCCATTGCATACAAAGGGGAAAGATACAGAGAGAGGGATGTGGTTTATGTTTATCTTAAGTGTTCATATCAGAAGGGATACGAACCGTTTTGGATGGTTGCGGCTGGGCGAGCTAGCAATGAGTGCTGCCTTAGTGTTCGGTTGGGACTCTTGTTCAGTCGGCAGGAAAGTGAGTCCCAGCCAACTATTGGAGCGGATCTTATGAATGGATCCTGGAATTTTCGCAAATGGTCCATTGTCTCGCAAATGAGTGCACTGGTATTAGCTAAGGGCACTTCGTGAGCCGTTTCCTCTCTTTTAATATTGCTGACTCTACTTTTAAGCATTCATTCTTCACAGGAGGAGGAACACGACCGATCGACCTATCCGGTGATGCGAATCGTCGAAGAGGACTCAAGTGCCATAACTGTGGTCTTGGAGGATCACTCCTTTGAGGTGATGGATATTGTGGCTGGTGCAGCGCTTGTTCTTGCAGTGCACGAAGTCCACGGCATTTTTTACCGTCAAAAAACAAGCCAGTCACTCGCAGTGATTGGGCACTTCATTGGGTTGAAGTACAGAATAAAGTCCGTCCTGGCTTTAGAATTGATCACAAAGTTAAAAACTTGTTAGCCAGAGGAAATTTGTGTGCCAGTTTTGCCTTCTTTGCCTTCTGAAAGTAAAATCTTGGTTAATAATAAACTCTATTCTACTGTTTTCTTTCTATGCTGACTTTTCATGAGAACCTACTGCCTCTGTGCAGGCTCATATGCTATATATTTCATGTCATTTTTGAGCTGCAGTTCCACATTTCCTATGCAACCATCTACTTGTGAACATGTACTATCGCGGACAATATGAGCTGAAACAGCGCTCCGGCCTGTGCACGGTACTACCTGCGCCGCCTGTCGCACCGCTCCCTAAACACGGCGCACCCTGAGGCCGAGATATATTATCGCTATGCGCTCACTGCGCCACTGCGCTCTTCCGGCCGTCTGCTAGCGAAAATATTGGCAGACGGAACCACCATCACGATGCGTGCGCCGTGTAGCCCAATGTTCACGGTTTTCAGCTAACATGCATTTCAGTGCATTTCAAGAAAGCGCCGATGTTTAAAATGTGTTGTCACGCTCGTATCTCCTTGAGGAGCGCTGCCTGACGGAGCTGTCTTGGCCCCCCAAAAGGAGCCGATCTGAACATCATCAAAAACATCTAGAGGCGCATCAAGGCAGCCATGACACGGCGTCCCCTCCACCGCGCTACTGCCCACAAATTCTGAAAACGCAATGAGGTGAATGGGAGTGGCTTCGGGCGCAGCCAGACTTTGTTGCCGCACCCTATGATTTCTTACCAGACAAGATGGGAGCCGTGGTCGGGGGGGGGGGGGGGGGGGGGGGGGGAGGGGAGAATGACGCGGTATTGAATTATTTTGTAAGTTTTAGTGCGCCTCCGGACCCCCTGAAGCGGACTTCTGCCGATTAGAACAAAGCTTGATGCTACGGTTCCAATGCACTGTTTGACGCCGTTAGCCACGCATACGTTTCTGTGGCGCCTCCTTGATCTCGATCTTCTTGTATGGTGCAGTTGAACTTCCACGCCGACTATTAATCTTTTCTTTTGTGTCTGACATTGTCTTCTGTAAATATTCTTTCGATTACCATGTTTCCATCTCCTTCTCCTGGCAAACATATCTGACTGTTTGTCCCACTTAATACTAGAAATGTGTAAACAAAAAAACTGGTGTCTTGTCAGCAACTTGTTTTGTTTGAAACAAACACGTGGTCCAGTAATAAAGAAATAGTACTTTTGACCCTTTAATACCAATCAAGGTTACAAAACCTTTTTTCAAACATCTGTGATCAATGAAAAAGGAAAAAAAAGTAAATACCTTGGAGCCGGACTAAATCCGGCATACAGATTTTGGCCTATATTTTACTATGTCCTACTTCGTGCATGCACCTATAATCAAACAAAAACAACCTGCAAGGTCTTTTGATCTGACTCTCAAAAACGATAATCGCAGCTGAAATTTCAGACACTTCAATATTTTTTCTTCACCAGTCAGCGGTTTCTTCTACGGGATTTTGCGCGATAGAGTAAAGTAAATCAATTCCAAAAGAGGGACGACAAATGAAATATCTTGTTCCCCCCGCCGCCCTACCACACACATGGCCGCTGTCGCACCCGCCGTCTCGCTTGCAGACGCCCGGAAAAGGGCAGGGGAGCAGCGAGCGCAAGTGTGAATTTATCTCGTACTCAGGGTGCGCCGTGTTTAGGGAGCGATGCGACAGGCGGCGCAGGTAGTACCGTGCACAGGCCGGAGCGCTGTTTCAGCTCATATTTTCCGCGATAGTACATAGCCGCTTTTAGATTGTAGGGCTACTGTTCATTGCAAAATACTTGAGTTGTCCCTAGTTGCATGGAACAACTCATACAATAAGGACAAGAGTATTCCAAATTACAGTGAAATTAAGGGAGGTATTGACATTTCATAGAATAATTGCAAAACGAAAAGTACAGTGGTCGCACTTCAACAGGCTAGAAATATCACTTGCCAGAAGATTTTTTTTTTTTCAGCAACCTTTTTTTCAACAAGGCCATTTTTACACTTCCGTTCTTCTAATTTTGTTTTCAGGTGTTTCCGTTACTTTTCACTGGGTTAACTTGCACCCAACAATACTCTCAAAAAAATATTTAACAGCATAATTGAGCGGAGTTTGTGTGACCCCTTCCTGAAGAGGGTGCTAATTCTTTTATACAGAGTTTAGGCAACACATCAAATGGGGCTGTACTTACTGTAGACAATTCTTTCTGTAGAGTAATTACAGCCCCATTTCAAGTGTTGCCTGAACTCTGTATTAAAGCGTTAAGTTCTTTCTAAATAGTGGTCATACAAACTGCTCAAGTGTGCTGTTCTGTGACATGAACTCTCGCTAGAGAGCATAGTTAACTCGTTAATACAGACTCTAGGCAACACTTCTAATAGAGTTGTATTTCCCCACAAAAAGGTTATTACAGCTCTACCTGGAAAGCGTGCTTAACTCTTAAATACAGAGTTCAAACAACACTTCTAATGGAGTTTTAGTTACTCTCCACAAACAAGTGAATTAAACTCTTCCGGGAGAATATGCTTAACTCTTGCATACCAAGCTTAGGCAACACTTCTAATGAGATTGTAGTTACTCTAGACGATAGAGTGAGGGTAACTCTTCCTGGCGAGTACTCGAAACTTTTAAATACAGAGTACAGTTAACATTCTAATAGAGTTGTAGTTACTCTACATGAAGGCATGAAGGTAACTCTCCCTGGAGACCATCCTTCACTCGTCAACTAGGAGTTTCGGCAACACTTCCGATAGAGTTATAGTCACTCCACACAAATGAGTGAAATGTACTCTCATCAAAGAGTTTAGGCAACACTTCTCATGGAGTTACAATTACTCTACACAAAGCAGTGAAGTTAAATCTTACACTTACACATCAAAAGAGTAACCCTGACTCTCTCAAAAGCATTGAGTTACTCTCTATAGAAGAGTTAAGTGAACACTTGTGTGGAAGAGTTAAACATACACATGCCTCCGAAGAGTTAGAGTTACTCTTTAAAAGAGTGGATTCTGTGACAAGTCACTTACACTCCAAAAAGAGTGTACACATGAGCTGTTCTAAGTGCCTTCGGTGTGTTTTTTTTCTTCGGTTGCGAGGGGTGTCAGGCAAGGAATCGAGTACAAACGGGCATCGAACAGATAAACCACCGGCCAGTGGAAGCGAGCTACATTCAGCGACAATATGATAGGTGCCAGGTGAGCTGGCGGTGGAAATGATTTGCACGCTCTTCAGATGCCCTAAACGCTTCTCTGACGGTGGTTTTCAGGCAGTACTAAGGCAAGGCTTGCGCATTTGCAGACTTGTGCCTGTTACTTGAAAAAAGTAATCGATAACAATTAAAAATACCGACCCTCAAATGTAATAGATTATACCGTCACAAATATCTTTCTCTGGAAAGGAACGAATTACTTTACTCGCTACATTACTATCTGCTTTCACGTTACTTTTTATACACTTATCAAAAAATAAGAAAAACAATTTGGATGTTTTCAAAAATGGTTTGCAACACTGCATTCCATTTCTTATGAGCTCGTATTATAATACTCCTTATAGAAATTAAATATTGTATTTAAGAGAAAAAATGTAGGAGCCCTCCATTCACCTGTAGGCTGACAACACAGCGAAAGCTGCATCCACATTCGCCATCCCGCTAGCTTAGGGCGACAGGAAAAGATCCCTGAAATTCTGCACACAAAGCTAGCGGTGCGCATGCGCACTATCAGCTTCTATATCCCCTAGGAGATCAAGAAGACAACGCCTTCTCGGCGTTTTTTTTTTTTTTTACATTGGTGTTTGGCATATTTGTATCTGCATTGCACGTTTTTCTATAGTGGTTATAGTGACCGGTTATACAAACAATCGTGTTCTTTTTGCTTTTACTCTCCTCTTCAAGTTGTTTTCTATATCGTGAAAATTGCTATCTTTATGCTGCTTAACTACCTGCTCACATTGCTCTATTTTCTGTATTATGTTAATTTCTTAAGTAACGAGTAATTGAAGTAAACGGTTACCAATATGTGTAACGAAATTACACTAAAATTACTTTCACAAAAACGTAACGTGGCAATTACAAAATTACTTAAAAAAGTAACGGACTACTTCCCACGTCTGCGCAGTTGAAACCAATTAAGGCTTCTCAAGCATAAAGGAAAATTTCCAAGCGGGTCTTTTGACACACGTCTGCGAGCACTGCTTGTTTTGCGGTTTTTCCCTAGTGAGTCGAGGTCCCATAGTCAGATTAGGCAAACGGTACCGGCCCTTGCGCTACCCATATATGCCACGCTTGTTAACCCCACTACCCGTACAGTGCCCATATGGGTCGGTAGCACTTTGTGCTGACGGAATGGTACGTGACTAATACTTAGAGTAACCATAACATAATTATAATGTAACTAAACGCTATAAGTTTCATTACAGTCACTTCAAGTCGATAGCTCCATGGTGTAACTATGCAAATGTTCTCAGTGTGTGCGTCAGCGGAAGAGCGCCGACGTATATCAAGAAAAATGAAAACTGAATTTTATGTCCAGTAAACAACATGGGAACTTTGGCTTCAGCTTCAGACGTCCCACTGCCTCGCTGGTTCCTCCCGCTCCTGGGACCATCACGCCAGATGGAGACTTTCCTCTCGTAAGCGATATTGTTCTAAACTCTCCATTAATATTTATCTGTTTTATTTATGTATTTTATTTTTTGTCTTTGGGAAAGGGGGGGGGGGGGGGGCGGAGGGCCGGGGGAATGGGGGGAGGGGAAGTAAGGTTCGCAGATAAGTGGCGCAGGGCACGGTTGAGCAATTTTTTTCTACTCCGAACTCCGACATGCCGCCTCGGCTTTTATTTTGCTTTTGCCGGTTCCGTGCCGCCTATTGTCGCTCTCCAACGAATTGCAGGCTCCCGTTTGTTTGAATTCGTCGCTGGGTGGGGGAGCGAGGGTGGCGCATCTGCGTCGGCTGTTCTCTGTGCTCCCGTGTCCCCCTCTTTGTCTCGTTCTCCTTTTATTCGTATCTTTCTTTGTTTCTCTTCTATTTTTCTTGCTTTCTCACTGCCCGCATCTCTATCTCTATCTCTCTATCTCTTTGTCTTTTAACTTGAAACGTTTTTTGAGCCAGTTGCTCCGAATTTCGTGAAGTCGCATTTCGTGAAGCCGTGCCCTGTGGCGACCCATAATGTAACGCGCGCAGTGTTACAGTATGAGACTTCACTGACCTACACATGAATTCAGTATTTGTGCTGAATTTAGGGGGAAGCCGAATTGGTGTATAGGTGGCGCGACATCAAATCACGTGACGTGCAATTCCCCGCTAAATTTAGCGGGAAAATTAATGTCCCGTAACCTACACCCTAATCCAGTTTTCCGGCTAAATTTAGCGGGGAATTTCACGCCACTTGACCTGGTGTCCCGTGATGCTAAACAATTCACGTATGCTACATATTTGCCCAGCAATTTACCATAAATAGTTTCTTTTTGTGTTTTTGTCTTTCCTTTTTTCTTTTTTACGTGTGCCCCTCTCTCTCTGTATCTCACCTCTCTGTTGTTCTGTTTATTTAACTTTATCACTTGGTCCCTGTCTATCTCTCTTTCTTTCTATTTTTGTGGCTTACTCTGAATTTTTTTTTTATTTTTTTTCTATTTTTCTATTTATATCTCTGTTCATATATTTCTTTATTATTTTACCCTACTTTTGTATCAGTCTCAGTCCATTTCACTCCCCTCGGCTCTCTGTAACCGGAGCTACTTCTTTTTTTCCCGGCGAAAGAAAATGCCTGTTCTCACCTAGGTCCAGGCCATGGCCATTAGCATCTACACAAAAGGTACCTTGTTGACGTAATAAAACATATTGTTTATTAGCATACGCACGGCACTATATAGTATACAGGGTTATAAAATATGAAACAATGAGTATAAGGTTGAATGAGCGATAGCACCACATACGACAAGGACAATTACGCACCCTCCGGAAAAGATCTCGTGCTCGGCATCATTACTCACGCGCAGTTGTTAACACGTTGAGAGCTCAAGTAGGAAGATAACATGCATCTATGCTTGGCACAACAGTCGCAAACGAGGAAACCGATGTTCTAACACCCTCGCATCTAGCTCGTGCCTCACACCATCAGCATCGCCCTCTATACGGTCCGGCGCACACCTCGAACTATTTCACAGCTCCGTCGCTTCCGAAGCTCACAGTTTTCAGAGAAGCGGCTTCCCGAAGCTGAAACCTGAATCCTCCCCATCCAGGCGTCCACGCAATCCCAAATCGGACGACGCTTTCGGAAAACTTTCCGAAGCGTGCAGTCCGCGCTATGAGCCACCCAAACACGCGCCGCATCAGTGTACGCACGGACACCCTCCTGCGGATAATTACACCCCTACCCCCTCATCACACAAATAGAAGGAGGAGGAGAGTGAAGGGGAAGGGGAGAGCTCAGATAATTGCCACCGACTTTCGGGAGTCTCTTTCCCTTTCACTTCCTCTCCCAACCTCCCAAACTGTTTCCGTTTCGATTCGGGGGACGTCGTTCCGAGTGGAGCATGGTAGCTGGACGCAGATCCTCGCAGATAGTTCAATGATGATAAACGTTAGGACGACAATTAGGCTTCGTCAAGAAAAAAAAAAGAAAGAAAGAAGAAGAATCGTGCTTGAGACTGAGGGATAAACCGCGAAAGGGCGAGGATAGCAATCTTTGAGGCAGCTTATTCGCACACTTGCCTTTGCTTACGACTGAGTAGAACACTGGCTCGAGGAACAATCAGATAAAGTCCTCTCCTGAGCTCGTGCGCGCGCCCAACAGCCCTCGGCGAACTAGCGTCGCACGCTGGCGAAACGACGAAACTGAAAAAGACATAAATAAAATATCTCGTTGCCATGGCATCGTACGAGCCCGTGCTCATTGCTCAAGGATGTGCGATGGGTGCACGGAAAATCCCATGGCAAAGAAATATTTTATTTATGCTTTTTTTTTTTTCACAGTTGCCTTGTGTCGCCGGTGAGCCACGGTAGTTCGCCGCGGGCAGCTGGACGCGCATGCGCTCGTGAGGGGCTCTATCTGGTGGCTCCGCGTCGGGCAGATTCCTTACCTAAAGAGTATATCTTAAAATGTGCTGTAGTGTGATGTGCAGTTGGAGAGTTTAACATGTGGCGCCGGCCAGTGATTCAGCGTAAACCCTACGATGATTTTTGTTTTGTGTGTTTTTTGCACAAGTACCGTCAATTATTGTTGTGGAAACGCTCAAGACACGTGCCATGAGCGGGAGCTCCGTCGCTATTCGCTTCCGAGGGCTGCTCATTTCAGTGCTGCGCCGCCATTTTGCTTCCAAAGACCGCTCGAGACACGGGCCTCGTGCACTATCGCATTTGACGCTACTTGTAAGACAAACGCATACACATCGAGGGGCTTGATTCCAGCGTCTTCTCTGGAGTGTTTGTGTTACAAAGAGTTTGCGTCTGTTAGATCGGGGCCACGTGGTTTACGGGTCGCGTTTGCGATACGAGCTGCGAAGAAGTGACGAACGCGTTGGTCGTCTGGGAGCGTCTCAGGCTTTTCGTCAATTTTCCTCATCGCCACGCGAAAACTTAGTGTATGAGCACTTTGCAATGAATCTCCTCTGGAGGCGTCCGTCATTAAATTGCAAACGCATCCCATAAATTGAGATGAACCATCTCTTCAGGCAGTTGAGCAGCGGCAGCGGCGGTACCTTCTTGCCCTAAAACTACGCATCTATATTTTCAGCTGACCGTTGTAGTGCTGCGTTGTTCCTGTGGGCCGACGACTATCGCGCAAGCTATCACCGTGCCGCCATTGGTCAACAGCAAGCAAGCAGACAGACGTCACCAGTATAATGAGGATAAATGAGCTGTCTGCAAGACGGCGCGCCACAAGCTGTCAAGCAGCGTCAGCGGCAGTACCGTCTTGCCCTAAAAGTACACATTTATATTTTCAGGTTGGTGCTCTTAGCTCCTTGCGTAAAGTTCAAACAGCCGTTGCTGTCACTGCTGCTGTTTTTACTGCTACGACGTCTACCAGTGTTTGCTTTTGAAGTCATATGCCATCTGATGAAGAGGACCATATATGTATAGCGTGCAATGAGCCGTTTCCAGAGGGTAACACTCTGATATGCTCTACTGAATGCGAATTTAAATTCCCTTTGGGGGCGTGCTCAAAAGTGACTAAAAGCGCTTTTGATAAAGAAAAGTGCCGCCTCTAAAAAAGACTTGGACATGCCCTAGGTGTAAGAAAGCACAAATAAGTAACAATCTAGAAACCGATTATTCCACGTCTAGAAACAGGAGAGATGACGAAATTACACTTGCAGAAATAAGCAGAAGGCTGTCTGCTATAACGGCACTACACTCAAAAGTTGACACGCTGATGGAAATAAAGAACACTGTTGACGGAATCGAACGCTCGGTCCAGGTTTTGTCTGACCAGTACGATGTCCTGCTTACCCAAGTACAACAGCAAAACAAAGAAATAATCGAACTGAAGAAGCGTGTCGAAAAAGGGGAATCAGGTGGCGATACCGAAGTACTACAACTCAGACGTAAAATAAACGATCTACAACAATAAAGTAGACGCCAAAACATCGAGCTATACGGTCTGGCACCTTGCGAATATGAGAACTTGATGAATCAGCTAAATACACTATTTGAACAACTCCAACTACCAAAGCTGACCGAGCAAGATCTTAAGGCAGCACACACTCTCTCTTAAGACCAACAAAGTCCCAGTTATCTTGGCACGGTTCACATTCCAAGTAACTAGAAACAAGTGGCTACAAAAAAGAAAAAAAATCCCAGCTAAAGCAAATGAAATCCACATTTTAAGAAATGCCTGCTCATCTACTTACCCGCAAAACATTTAAATAGCCAATCTCTGCGATCTACGAAACCAGCTCAGCAAAAGATGAGGCGGAACATCTGTTTAGACCTCGAAATTAAGTCTGTGCTGTGGCATTACGCAACGCAAGCATGAAGCTTTGCATTGCGTAATGACGCAGCGCAGTCTTCATTTTTAGGTCTAAATTGATGTTCCGGCTTATCATTCGCTGAGCTGATTGCCTAGATCGCAGAGATTGGCTATTTAAATGTTTTGCGGGTAAGCAGACACACAGACATTTCTTAGAGTGCATAGTACGCATCTGAAAATATCTAACGGCAAAAAAACAACAAAAAAAATTGGCAGAAAAGGAATAAAACGACCAAAAAGCGTATTAATTTGCATGGCCCAGAGAAGGCAAGATGTTCACGAGAAAGCGGCTGGTAACCGTCGTATCAATATAGAACGCAAAGAAGACCTGGAAGTGATACATTTAAAAGAACTGCACTCAAGCCTTTCCTTTATTTCTTTTCTCTTTCAGGGGCGAAGCTCCCTAGGATCTAGCCTTGTCCGGCGTCCGTGCTCACATCGATTGCACTGCCTCCGAGATCGGCCGACCTAAAAAAGAAAAAAAAAAAACCAAAAAAAAAAACGTACGCCTCCACGGAGGTTCGAACCCAGAACTGCTTGCTTAGGAAGCAGACGTCTTAAACACTACGCTACACTCCAATTGTTTTTTTCCTTTATTGCATGGTAGTTACAGCAACATTTATGTCATTCTAACAGCGCTGTAAGTTCTTACGTTGCATGTACCCGCTCAACATCTATACAGGACAGGGCGCTGCGGTCAAATGCGTATATAATCGCGTTAAACTTTGCATGCATTGGCTCAACGTTTATAGACGAGAGGGCGCTGCGGTCAAATGCTCAAATGCGTATATTACCACGTTCCATACCACACGTTCTCCTTCTGACATGGACCGTTGACTTAAGCCGTGGAGATGCGTTCCGACGGCTTCTAGCGGATCCAAGGGGATCCGCTAGAAGAACCACTGGCTCTGCAGTTCACCAACCATAAAGCAGTAATAATGAAATCGAAACGCAACCCGGAACTCAGCAGTACCTATGAGCAATAAAAAAAAATCAGCACCATCAGCACATCCTATGAACAATAAAATCAATATCATCAGCACCACCAGAGCTTCGCCCCAATCAACATCATTCACCACGTGGAGATGCGTCTATTTTTTTTATTAATGGGAAATTCTACTGAACACAGATATTATACTAGAAACTTTATTCAAAAATATTCTTCAATAAAACATTTCACGCAGCCACATTATGTTATTCTTAGTTCATTTAAATACAAGAAGGATTAGAAACAAATGTGACGACATTGAAGAATTTATTTTCAGTCTAGACCACCGCTTTGATATTTTAGCATTCAATGAAACATGGCTTAATTTTGATTATCATATTCCTGAATTTATTGGTTTAACCATGTAGGCATGTTTTGTAGTGAAAAAGAAGTGGGGGAGTATCCCTTTACAATAAAAGTAACATTGTATGACTGCTAAAATACTTAGAAAAAACAAGCGAGCTGGTGGTGATTCATTCGAATAAAAACCCTAGACTAAGGAACACAGTAGCTGTGTTGTGTTCGTCCCGTTCTGTGTTACTGAGTCTCGGGTTTTTATTACCATCAATAACCTGGTGTGCAGTGGTATTTGCGAACTTACTTGTGCTTGTTCGAATGTTGAGTGTCTTCTTGTGAAGTGTCGTAATTACATTATAGCTATCGTATACCGACTGCCCTCTGGGTCCCCTAGTGTATTTCTTGAATTCCTGAAAGCTATTTTTCAGTATTCTTCTGGTTGTAAATTGCCTGTAATACTTCTTGGTGATTTTAATATTAATCTGACGCTATCTGAGTCATGGCAGTTGGAATTTCTAGATGTTGTGCAATCATGTGGTTTTGAATATATTATAGATCGGCCTGCTCGAGTTATGTCTGATACTGAGACTTTACTTGATTTGTGTATAACCAATGAAATGACTAATGACATAGCATCCGGTGTAATGACACTTGATTTAAGTGATCACTTAGTCTTGTTTTGTTCTGTTCCATGCAAAAACAAAAGCTCCAATAAAACGAATATCAGTAGCCCTTATTATCGAGATATAAGCGACTATAATATCGAATGCTTTGCAGCACTTGTATGGAACATAAACTGGAGTGATATATACAATGAGCCAAGCTCCAGTAAATTGTATGTTAAGTCTTCGGAGAAAACAAAAAGTGCCTATGAAGAATCATTTCCGTTTAGAAAAGCCATAAAGGCATAACAGGTCACGAAAATCCTGGATTACGGAATCTCTTTCCAAACTGATAAATAAATGAGACATGCTTTACGATGCATTTACAAGATTTAAATACATCAGTAACTTGATTGAACACAGAAAAATACGAAACAAGTTAAGCTGCAACGGAAATAAGTCTAAAGCAAACTATTACACAAATAAATTCATTGCAGTTCAACATAATCCAATGAAAGTATGAACGACAGCAAAAGAAATTATGTCTAAGTTGAGTAGCACTATCCCCATGTGTGCCTGGAATAGATGGTGTTAATTATTCAGGTAGAACACTTGCAAAGTTGTTTAATGCCTTTTTTTTACTTTGAGGCGCTCCATCGTCCTTCTTGTTCAACGAAAAAATCTTTGAATTTTATATGTTGACACGCCCACCAGGATCTATATTTATATCACCAACAACATAGACCTAAGATTTAACGTGATTAATTCATTAAAAAAAGCGGCGCATGTAGCGATGATGAATTAAAAGTTAAACCAATAAAAGCAATTGATAATATAATTAGACTTCCTTTCTCTGCAATCTGTGATAAAATATCAGGCACTGGGGTATTTCCTCCGAGACTAAAGTTCATACTAGTATAAATGATAGACTAAGGTGGACCTTACTGTACTATAACTACAGACCCATATCCGTATTACCAATATTTGCAAAAATAATAATTAATAATTAATTTAGGACTGTCCGATCATTTTAGCAAACTTAATCTCCTTGCCAAACAACATGGTTTTCAGAAAGGGAAATTTACTCAAGAAGCTTTACCGAATGCTAAGAATAAAGTTTTAGCTAATTTTGAAACCAAGCTTTTTAAATTAGGCGTATTTTGAGATTTCAGAAAAAGTCTTTGATTTAGTCAATCATGAAATAATTCTTTAAAAGCTTTATAATTATGGTATAAGAGCTATTGCCCTACAACTCAATCAAAGTTATTTATCAGAACGTGTCAGATACACCACTCTTGGTTGCGAAAAATCGGAAACCGGTAATATATATTATGGGGTTCCCCAAAAATCGATCTTTGGACCAAGTCTATTTTTGATGTACATTAATGATATTGTTAACATACCACATACACCTGATATTGTACTGTATGTAGATGACACCAATATATTTTTCGGGTACAAACATAGATCAGCCTGGAACATTAGCGAACGGCTGGATGATAGAGTGAATTACGTGGTTGGCATGAAATGAATTGGAACCAAACGTTGAAAAAACGAAATATATGATATTTAAAGCAAGAAATATAAATATTAATTGAAAACTAAACTTTTTATTTAAGAACATTCAAATTGGTTACGTTGAAACCTACAAGTCTCTAGGAGTACTGTTTCAAGAAAATTTAATTTGGTCTTCCGATATTTATTGGATTCGACCCGACATTTCATGGGCAATTTTAATTATAAGTAGGCTAAAGTGCATGCCTCCGGTTTTGTTAAAGCGCAAGCACTACTGTATTCTTGCTCATCGTCGTTTAAACTATTGTAGTTTAGTATGGGGTACATTCTCAAAGACCGTATCTCAGTTAGCTCTTGTGAAAAAAAAAGCAGTGCGGTCAATTGCCAATGTATCATATCGGGAACACACCTGCCTATATTTCATTAAATACTCACATCTTAGAGTAGAACAATCACTCACTTTGAAATTGGCAATTGAAATGTTCCACAAAATTAAACTACGCCCTTAGTTCGTGCAATCAAAATACATCAACAGGGCATCCACATGTACCTTCTGTCATACGCAGAATCTACAGTCGAAAATACGAACCAACTAATGTAGACAAAAGATACCTAATCAAATCGCACAATTATTAAATAACCATCCTGAAACACTGTCCTTACACGCCTTTAAAACCACATTAAGAAGTTTCATTCTAGGTCTAACATACTCTGTATTAGTATTTTGATGTGTTTCTGTTTTCTTAGATCACATTTTGTATATGTCATTGTGTCTTTGTGTAATGGTGTAATTGTTTTGATTACTTTTTTTAATTTACATTTTTCTGCTGGGTTGCACATGAGGACGAGCCCTTGTCAGGCGACTCTAATCTCCTTTGGCCCTGTCCTCCGAGGCGTTTGCCTCAATATAATATATTCAGTATCTTTAGGCCTCTCTCGTCGTGAGCGATCACGTGAGATCACAAGGCTGTACGATGCACTCGGTATCCATCGCCAGCCCGTCAGGGCTTGAGCACGTGCTCGGGGCGTCTACTGGACACGAAGGTTGCGACAGAGTTCGGCGTGAACTTGGTTCAGCTTGTATTGGACACGAACGCTGAGTCAGCGTTCGGCGAGGACACGGATCGAATCGAGCGCATCATGAGCAAGCAATGGTGACCGCTAAGGCTCCTTGTTTGGCTTTTGGCAATGGTCTATTTTTTGCATAAACGCGTCGGAGTCCCCATTTACTGGATCAAAAGTTGCGAGAGAAGCGTTCAGATGCTTACAAGCTAAAGGCCGGTTTAGACAGCACCGTTTCCTTGCGTTAGGAAGCTGACGTATACGCTGAAAGGTCAGTTCAATTATCCCAGTCTGCTTAAGTTGCGTTACGTTACGTTACGTTCGCTTGTGTCGAAGCTCACCGGGACATTTGTGCTTTGTATAAAGCGTGGCGACCAATGGAACACGTTTCTTTGCACTCGACCCCCCATACTAAGCCCGGATAACTCGAGGATACATTACGTAACGTAAGATAACGTAAACATGTGCCCCTGTGCGAAAACAGGCTGGTTGAGAATGCACCGTTTTCTTTACGTTTTTTTTTTTTTTCATTAAGTATAAGTTTTTTCTTCTCCTGGTGCCTGTCAGTTTCAACGAATAAGGCAACAGCTTGGCAATCCTGACACAGCCATCGTTTGTTGCATCAATCATCAGCCTTTGTCGCCGTCGCTGTAGAGCCTTTTAGACACCATTGAACCAGCCTATCCTGAATACCAATCCAATTTGTCTGCAGCGACGTTTGACCGCCATGTCTAGCCCGTCCGCTGTAGGCTAATGGCAATCGTTGCGAGATGTCTCCTAGTGGTTCTTGGTTATGTTCCGTAGCGCCTTTGCGGGGCAGACTGAACGCGCAGTACGTAAGTGTGTATAATGTAATGCAACGTAACGTTAAATAGCATAAAGGGTGCAAACGGGTCTGTGTGAACCAGCCTCTGCGAACGCAAGTCGCCGGAACATCCGAGCCTTGTATTCCACGTGCCGAGCTATAAAAAAGTTAGGGCTTGAAAATTAACCGGGTATACTATTTGTTTTCTAAACGGAAGGCTCATAAGCTGCTTAGTATATACACCACGTTTAGAAATTTTTTGAGCTCTAGTAATTGCAAGAATTAATTTATGAATTTTTAATATTTTCATCGGGCAACCAGGCAACACCATCCAAGTTAGTCGAACCCTGGTGCCCATGAACCAGGGTTGGGCGGAAATACTCAAAAAGGTATGTGGAAATACAAATACTGGGATACATTAAAATAGTAGTTAAAATACTGATACTGAGATATATCTGTAAAAGTGTGTCGCGATACGTATCAGAAATACATTTTAAAAAGAGGTAAAAATATTTGGAAATACAAATACAGGAATACATTTTAGGGAGGGCAGAAATACAAATAGAGAAATACTGATACTGCAATACATTTTTGAAATTTGTTTGAGACGCCAAATGAGATGAAGCTTGAAGTTGGAGGTTGAAGTTTTTTTTATCGCGAAATTACTTTACCGTAGGCTTGGCACTTTGCCTTGAAGGTAGTAATTTCGGACGACGAGGAGTCTTAAATGGGCTCAAGAAAACGTTCCATCGAAGACTGACCGCGGTCCCTTCCCTGACATCCTGTCTGTCTGATGAGGCATGCGAAAAGACTTTGACCTCTAAATAAATTATATGTCATCCTAAATCACCACACCTCCGTCCAATAAGGACGCCCCTGTCAACATTTATCACATGACGTCACGGTGGAATGAACTGGCATTCTTTATCTGTAGGTGTGGCCTTGAACATGAAACTTCAGCACGCTGCTGTATGAAAGGACAATGTGTACTTTCGTTGTAGGTTACCTCGTTGAAGATCGAGCAGGGAATGTCATTTGGATTTTTCGAGAATAGTGGACTACCTGAAGCGTCCTGGAACACCTGTCTTATCTTCTCTTACGGTTGAAAAAACGATACGGTGGCATCCCTGTTGTATAGGTCTTTCCTGCCGACCCTCTGCCACCGACGCATGAATTGCAGTCCTCAAGTTTTGTCTTGCATACTCCAAACAGAGACCTCGTGGATTGCGACCTGATATTGCCGGCACAAGTGCGAGCTCTCCGAGAAACAGCGAGCTCGAGACGAGTCGCAGGTGTACGAAGTCTGGGTCGGCACAGCGAGGCCACGTTTGACTTCCTCCCTGGGTTTCGGATCACCAGAGCTGCGGGTTACTTTCACGTCGGCTGATGACGTTCCCTTGAGCCGTGCAATATTACGGGCGCAGCCGCAGACGCATTCGAATATGTGTTGAACTTCACTGCGTGAGTCATCCTTCTATTTCAAGGCAACCACCGCCAGGCTCTTGCTGCAACGAACTGTGGCTCAGCTTTGCCGGCCGCGTGTGTAGGCTAAGGCAAGAGAGACGGTTAGCAGCGGGCATTGGATGTCAGCAAATAATAACTCAAGAAATTCCTACCTAAGAACCTGTGGCAGAAGGTGCTCTGACTGATGGGGAAAACAGCCCAGAAAACACAAACTACGAAGAGGAACAAACACGACAGGACAGCATCGTCCAGTCGTGTTTGTTCCTCTTCGTAGTCCGTGTTTTCTGAGCTGTTTTCCCCATCATGTATAACGTCAACCAACTGGCTCAGTTGTCCACCTTATGCTCTGACTCCACTCCTGGCACGCCACCTAGTTCGAGTCCCCGACTACGCAACACTTCTCAGAAGGGGGAAGAGGACGGATAGGAAAATAGTTTTGAGAACCGGAAGGAACCTTGGTCAG